TAGTGGAACAGAAAATGGAATTAGTCTCATCATTTTTAATTGTATTCATTTATTATTATTTTTTCATATGACCAGAGAGAGACAGAAGGAAAATGAGAAAGCAACCTATCAGGTCTGGGATTTGAACCTCAGTCATCCATGTGGGAATCCAGCACCTTAAGCACTATGCCACCTGCCAGTCCCAGTGTCCCATCATCTTTTGAGATACCAACCGTCTTTCTTGGGTCCTCCTCTTATGCCAGAGTCTGGGCATAAGGGATGAAAGCTGTGGAACTTAGACATGTGTATGACACTTCCCACCACCATTTCTTTATTCACACTCCTGCCATAGGCCTGTACTCGGTTCTACCCAGTGTTCAGTAGGAATAGCTCACAACTGGGGAAGGATATTAAACTGTGTATTTGCCCACAGTGGTGCTTATAGATGTAGGGAAGCAAGGCTCATTACTTATCTGCTATACCTCAGTTTTGCAGACTTTGCAAATGATGGTGCTGTCATCCAAGATCTAAGGACAGACATCATCAATATTAGAGACATAGTTTAATGTTTAAATACAAATGTCAACTTGCTCAAATCCATTATATATACACACTATTTACGATTCATGTATACTTATATATTTGTGTGTGTTGATTTTACATAATCTAATGAAACAGTGCTGACTTGGTTAAAACAGAGTCTAGCAAAACGAAGACAGTGCAAAATGAGTTTTCAGATTTGCATGTGTATATTTTGTTCTGTTTTATATTTTACTGAGAAAGAAATTAATTCAGTCATTTAAACTCATGGAGTTGAAAACTATTTAAAAAGCATAGGTTACAATTCTAACTGCTGTGGATGCTTACTAAAAGAAGCAAGCATCTGTTCTCAGATGTGTGAAGAATGAAATGTCACTTATTTCATTATTCACTATAATATCTTTTTTGGTGTCTTGTTATGGAGCAAAACTGTCCAGCCACACTGATATCTGAGAAGGGGAATCATGTCTCTGTTTCCCTAGAGAAAGATCGTGAATAAATATGTTTTTAATCATTTTGGTCCCTGAAGTAGCAGTACTGAAGTTTTCATATAATTTTTTACGGTCATTTTGAATCATGAAAGATTAACATTTATTAAGGATTTTATACTTTGCCTTTAATAAAATCTATTGTTACACTCTCTATTAAATATGGAAATAAAAAATTTATCATTAGGAAGAAATCTAAGATGTTTCATTGCTTTTAAAAAAGAACCTAATATACTCCTTTCAGTACAAATGTAATTATTTGGGGATTAAATATATTACATAATTGTTTATCTAAATTAACTTTCACCTTTTACAATGCCTTTAAAAATAAAATGCATTATAACAGAGTAACTTTCAAAGATGAAAGGGGAATTAAATGACTGAAGATAAAAACATGTGTAATTTAAATGTTACTTCTAAGGAAAAATTTATGTAGAACTGTGGTTTACAATAATTGTTGACATATTCCCCTAAGTACTGTGTCTGTGATTTTTCATGGTATCAATCATTTAAAGCAATTTAGGTAATAACATTCTGACATGCATTTCTGCTATTTTATTTACACCATTTGCCTACATCATTGTAATGCAGTACCTTTCTGATTTGGTACAGTAAATGCACTCTGTAATATCTATTATGGCATGGTCAAAGGATAATTTATTGTCAAATAGAAAAATAGGTCAACACTAATGTCACTTGATGATCAACCCCCCCACGAGTTTAATAAAACATCTCACCAGTATGCATTCCAGTGCAGTGGTTGATATTTTATTAGGACTACCTGGCTATAGCGGTGGTGTAATTACTGAGCTGTCAGAGTGATAAGTGGGATTAATGGCAGCCTGATGCACTTTAGTCTGCAGAGCGCTTAGAGAATTGCAAGATGGTATTATTATCAGCGTCTGCCCATTCTGGCATATTCATGGCACCAAAGAAAAAAAGAATGCTACAATTCAGGTTTGCGTTGCCCTGCCTCATTAACATCTGACATTTCCAACAGCTGTTATTTGTGAACTAGCTCAATAATAAAAGGAGAATTATTTGGTAAAGAGGTTTAATAACTACAACTAAAAATCCTTACATTGTCATTGCTGTTAAGTGAATCTGTTTATGTTGAATTTAAGATTTCTTTGGAAGAATAGAAAAATACATTGGACATTAATTTGGTTCATTCATACCTGCTAACATTTAACTTTATTTTTTAATTGCCCTATTATTCAAGTTGGGTGTTAGAAAAAAGAAAAGCATAAAACTTGTGACTTTATTAGGGATAGCCAGAATCTATATAATTTGTCATATAGCATACTTTCTAATATATGTATATGTTATGGGTATATTTCATACATATGTATTTCTATGTAATGATGAAGGTTTTTTTTAAATTGTTTAAATGGCTTTTTTTTTTAGAAATGAGAAAATACTTAAGATATTAAGGCATTTGCTAAATTTTTAGCTATTTTATATTACTACATAATAAGGAATCCTTTCAAACCACTATTAATACAAATATATTTATCTGCACAGTCATAGCACATAAATTTATCACTCATTTCAACATCAAGGACCAAATAGGCTATGCATTATATTCTTTATGCATTGTTTTGAATGTATTGTGCAGATTATACTTTCAAGAAATTATTTTGGAACTCAGTAACAGTGTTTCAGGAGGAAAAACCCTAAGTATGAACAGATAGGATTTTGACTAAATGATAGATGTGAATCTAACAATGGCATTTAGAAAAATGATAGGGGAGAGGTTTAATGACTACATTTCAGAGAGGACAATTGATTATGAAAAGCCTTCAGTACTCATTGTGTAAAATTTAATTTAGAGAGAAGGCTAAGGGCATAAACCAGAGAAAAGAGATCAGATTTCAAAACAAGATATTAATTAGGTACTGAGAAATTGGTTCAGACAATGAAGAGGGCTCTCTTACTCACAAAAGAATGACAAGGAGACTGGTATTGTTTTATTGGAAGAAATGAACCAAGGTCCTCGCACAAGGAAGTGGATAAAAAATGCACTAGCGAGTCACCTTTGTCACTGAGCAATGTAGGTTCATTCTCAATGGAATTCTTGAATAAGTCTGGTCTTCAGGCACAAATGACAGTAGTTTATTTTCTTATGTTGTATATTTCTGGCCTAGTTTTCTCCATTCTCACTCTCACTTTATGCCACACCAGATCACTTTATGCCATACTGGTTCATCTACCATGTTGTATTCTTCCCAGGCATTGCTGTAATACTGTTCTCTAGTGACCCTGCACTCCAAATCCCACCATCATTTGTTCCATTAAATGTCCACTCATTCTTCAAGCTTCCATTTAAGTATTATTCCTCCAAGCCAGCATTTTCTCTCCCTGTGATACTTTATCCTTTATATTTCTATAGCATGCAATATTTCACCTCAGTTTGAGTAATCTACCTTAAGGACTGGAGTGCCTTTTATGTGTCTGTACTTCTTTCAAACTGCAAGTTCCATGTGAGCAGGACCTTGGGGAACCTCGTCTTCTTGTCCAACACTTGTTTTGTTTTTCCCCAAAGACAGAGTCTCACCTTGTCATTGTTCCTCAGTCTCAGCCCCCTAGCTGGGACTACAAGTACTACCATCAGGCCTGCCTCTTTTTTATAGATGGGGTTTCTGTGTTGCACAGGTCAGCCTCAAGCTCTTCATCTTCCTGCCCCAGCCTCCTCATATTGCTGGGATTACAGGTGGAGGTTCCAGCCTTTAGGTTGGATCAGGAATCAAGCACAGTGTCTTCGCAGTATAGGCCACCTCAACTGGGCCTTGTCCCTCACTTTTATGTTCTCATATCCCAAGGTCTGCCATGGAGCAGAGGCTTATTAAATATGTGTTAAGTGAGTGAATAAATGAGTACATTTATAAGTCCATGTAACAATAAAATGTTATTCTAGTAATGATTTCATTTGTTCTGAAGCAGTAAGTATAGAGTCTTGGTTCTCAAAATATGGTCCTAATCATATATATTTATAATCACCACAGAGGTCTTATTTTTTCTTAATGCAGATCTCTAGGCCAACAACTCAGACAAACAAAATGCTCCTCTATGAAATATGTGGCATTTATCAACATTTCCAGGGGATTCTTAGGCACTTTTAAGTTTCAACCTAATTCTGGTCAGTTCCTCAGAAAGCAGATTCTGAGGGATATTAGTATGCAGGAAGTTTTTTTGAAGGTCAACATCTGTAGGAGAGTGAAGGAAGCAGGATCTGCAGACAGTCACAAGAAAGGATTCAGTGGATCCCTGCAGACTAGTTCCCCAAATAGGTGTAAGAAAATAGGCCCCTAACCCCCCTTATTGGCCTGTAATTGGATGCTGGCTGGAAAGGGAGCATGACCTTATTTGAGCCCATTCTCTTTAGCTAAGGACAGAGCATCTGGGGGGAACATATTCTTTGGTTCTGAAAGAGTAGATCTGGTCTATGCTTTGAAGCATTTACTACAGAACTCAGTTGCCTTGTGAGTGGTAGGTTGAAAGACATTAGAAAATTGGAAGAAAAGGGGGAAGGACAGAGGGGGAGAGAAGGGAAAGGAGAGAGGGAAGAAAGGAGGAAGAAAAGATATTTTAAGTAGTAAAATAAGAGGCTTTATCTTTGTGTTTGTATATAGTTGTGGTCTACAAGACTTGCAAACCTTACTATGAGGGATTGCATGCTTTTCAGTATAGTCAGGGATTAAAACAAGATTAAGAGAGTAAGTAAGTGAGTGGTGTATCTTAAATAGCTATTATCCTCTTGTAATCTGGAAGGAATTCTGAGAGAAGGGGCATTTATTAGCCAGAATAGTGCTATTTTATGCAATTTATGAGTTATGCAAAAAGTGAAACAGATACAATGTATTTACTTTATTACTTTTAAAAAAAGTTTTATACCCCCAAATAGTATGTTATTTATGTTTAACTAGACACTAAAATATATGGATTATCTCAGTTGCATTTCAGTTTTCTTAATGCTGTTATTTTATTCCCTAGATGCCTGAAATGTGCAGATGCCCCCTGTCAGAAGAGTTGTCCAACGAATCTAGATATTAAATCATTCATCACAAGTATCGCAAACAAGGTAAATTCATATTTTGCTCTGCAAGTGAAATTAATACCAGAATTTGACCTTGATCTCCAATTTTTATTGTTATCTGTGGTTAAAGCATAAAAATTGTCTAGTTGGGCCAGAAGGTGGGATGGAGGTTAAGGTGACTGGAACTCAAATGGCCTGCTTAGTGGTTTGAGTCCCAGACCTGGTGGCTTGAAAACCATGCTGAGCATGTGTGCGTGCATACATGCCCAAAATCCAGAGAAAAGAATGGAGGAGAAGAGTTTGCAGTGTGGCCATCCCTATTGGGAGGTGATTTCTCACTTTCTCTAGCTCTCTTTCTCTCTGTCTCAGGCAAGCACATATCTCATACAGCAAACTTAGGGGGAAAAAAAACTTAAAAAGCTTATTTTAGTGAAATTGGTTAAAATATTAAAAATATGATTTCCAAAGGCATTTGAAAATGTGGTACATTTTAATAATGAATAATTAAGCTCTTCTAAACTATGATATGATTATTGTGAATATGGATCTTTGTTTTCTTTCTTGAAAAATTTGTTTTGAAATAAATTATTTTTTATACAGATCAGTCAATAAATAAACTGACTGAAGCTCAAGCTTACTATTTATAGGTAGGAACTGTCATTGATTATCAAAATACATTTCAAATTTGTGAAATATCTTTGTCTTAAATTATGCTTTGGCATTAAGTCTGGTGCACTGTTACATACATCAAAGGAATACACTTTTTTTCTTTCAAAGAAATTGAATTATTTAAGACTTGAAGTAATTTATAGAAACTAATAGCGTTGTAACTTAAAAAACAAAAATGCCGGAAGATAGAAAAAGAGGCAGTTCTAGGCATGAGTAGAACAAAAGAAATTTTGATGTTTAACTTTTTAAGAAAATCAATGTAAGGCTAAGCTAAGTTTTCATTCACTAAGTAAATGGTTGCTTAATTGAATAATTAATAGTATCTATTGTTTTCATGAAAAGAGCACTGGAAGCTCTTGGCCAACCAAGCGTCTTGTCTTTTAACAAATGAGCAAAAGTAGAATGTCTCCCATGAGAATACAATCCTTTATTTTATTTTATTTTTTTGAGAAGGTTTAACACCAATATTATTATTATTATATTTTTTGAGAGGTTTTTCCGGTAGGGCGTGTGCGCTCACCAGAAGGACAGAGACAGAGAGCAAGAAATAATCCCCCAGAGGAGATGGGATGGCCACACTGCAATCTCTTCTCCTCCATTCTTCTCTCAGGATCTTGGGCATGCACACACATGTGCCCGGAGTGAGTTTAAGCCACCGGGTCCAGGACTCAAACTGCTGTCAACTACATGGGAGTCCAATGATATAGCCATTACACTAACTGCTGGTCCCAACATCAATATTCTGAAAAGCCTCAAAGATTCATTAAACCCTCCCTCAATAACCAGATGTCTTCTGGGATATCAAAATCATTTCTCTTTTTAAAATTTTTTAAGAGATATTTTTGATATGGGATGCATTCAGTCGCCAGAGATCCAAAGAGTGATAGAGAGACAGAAAGTGATAAATCATCTTCTGGGGGTATGGCCATGCCACAATCCCTTCTCCTTCATTCTCACCTTGGGTTTTTGGGCAGGCATGTACATGCACCTGGAGTGAGTTTCAAGTTGCTGGGTCTGGGACTTGAACTGTGGTCAACCATGTGGGAGTCCAGTGATGTAACCATCACACCATCTGCTGGTCCCCAAAATAATTTATTGATGTGTCAATTTTCTTTTTAGAAGTTTTGCCATAGGGCATGTGCGCTTACCAGAGAGAGAGAGAGAGAGACACAGACAGTGAGAGGGAAAGTGAGAAATCACTCCCCCAGAGGATGTGACCATGCCACAATTCCTTCTCCTCCATCCTCCTGGGATCTTGGGCACATATGCATACATGCCTGGTGTGATTTTTCAAGCCACTGAGTCTAGGACTTGAACCGCGGTCGGCCATGTGGGAGTCCAGTTATATAACTACTGTGCCATCTGCTGCATCCAATATGTTGTTTGTTTTGTTTTGTTTTGTTTTTGTTTTTAAATACTTCAGGAGGAAAAGTGATAGACAATTTATTGCATTAGGATTTCAAAAAAATTAAAAGTTATTACTTAGATGTAAGGTCATGGTGTTGATCCGTATTGTCAGATTTATTAAAATTTAAAGTTTGGGTTTAAAATTTTAGATTTAGGGATCAGCAGTTGACATAATGGCTATGTCGCTTAACTCCCATGTAGTCAACTGCAGTTTGAGTCCTGGACTCAGTGGCTTGAACTCACGTCTGGCATGCTTGTGTGCGTGACCAAGATCCCAAGAGGAGAATGGAGGAGAAGAGACTGCGGCGTGGTCATCCCCCATGGGGGGTGATTTCTCACTTTCTGTCTCTCTCTCTCTCTCTGTCTTTCTGGCAAGCACACGCGACCTATAGCAAAAAACCTCTCCAAAAAAAAATTAGATTGATCACTTAGTGTGATCCCAGAGAAAATTATTTATGTCTTTACTATCATTTAAGATTGCACTTGTCTTATAAAGTTGCTGCATACACTAAATAATACTTGTATATTCTGATGTCTAACATTGTGTAATTACTTTACACAATAATCATTTTGTTGATGTGGAATCTTAGAAGTGATTGCTATTTTTGTTGCTGATGTTCTTTGTTGAACAGTTAATATCTGCCACACATATTGCTGGACAGTGGATGAGACAGGGTCCCTGTTATGACTCTGCCTTTTAGTTCATAATCTGTAAGTGAAGACAATTATATTAAAAACAAACGCTATTCATCATCTAGTGCAGTTAGTGTGGCCAGCCCTGCAGTTTGGGGAGAGTATCTACCACGTGAGAAAGCAAGGATGTGGGCATGTACATGGCGAGTTTGTGGCGGTGGGGGAGGAGGGAGGATGTAATAAACTCGGAATGATTAAAATAGACCACAGATTACATAGAAATAGGTGGGAAAGGGCCAAACACTTAGACTGGGGATAAGTTGTGAAAATATTGAGTATCATTCTCAATAATTGGGACTTAATCGATAGGTAGGAACAAATAATCAATGTTTTATATTTGTTTTGTAGTTAAGATGAATTCTGGGAAAGAATCTTACTTATTAATGTCATAGTATCCCGAACATTCATCATCACAGGACCTTTGTCTTATGTGTGAAAACAAACTTATGTGAAAATATTATGAAAGTTTCTTTAATAATGATCTCATCAGAAAACGAATGAAACAAAATAGTCAAAATTTGAAGTCTGAAGTGTTTCGACTAAAAATAAATCTAAGTTAGCACTCCTGAATCAAGCATGAGTTGATATGGGAATTATGAGAAACCACCTTGGAAGACCAGTGCTGTCCACAATTTCAAAAGGCAGCATTACTCTTGTAATTCTAATTAGCACTTCATGTATTTGAGACTTACACAAGTTTATAGAGAAAATAAGATAACAAGAGGATAATGATATCCTTTGAAATATTTGTAAAAGTGTCTAAGCAAGATCAGAATCATCACTGTTTTAGGAAAACTTCTTTCTATTTCATTAATTTGTCCACAATTCGTTATCACCTAGTGAAGCATTGTGCTTAGGTATTTATTTAAACAGATTATTACATGACTATGAGACCTTGAAGGTATTTATTGGAAAATACGATCTTCATCAACATTTCAGAAACTATTTTAAGTCATGTTTTGTTGAAGAATCAGTGTGGCAATCATGAAAGGTCAAATATTCTTGTTCTTTAAAGCCTGCAGCTTTTTAGATATTGACCAGCTGTGTACAATGTAGGCTGTCCTACATGGCTCTGCCAGTGGACCTCAACACAGGAGGGGAGTTCCTTCCAGGTTGAGAGGGTAATTGAATCGCCAGACTCAATGAGCCTTGTGCCTCTTTGAGAAAAGGATGTCACTCGTATTGTATTGTGTTAGGCTTCTGTGATTCAGTGGAGTTTAGGCCAATACTTCCATTCTTTATTTTCTTACAAACTGGATTACAGTTCTAGTTTCGAAAGGTACACTCAATTCTATTGTACCTCCTCAGTCAGTTTTCCTCTGTTTTGTTTGTGCAGGCTGTTGTTTGCAATTGTATCTCTCAATGGGAAGCACAAGTTTCAGATTCATCAAACTGTGAATGCTGGTTATATTTCTTGATAGTTTTCCTTTTTAAAAACACTACTTTATATAAGAATACATGAAGTCAGTCTATAAGTCATGACTTTTTAAAGTGTTTCTTATTTCATGATTTTTTTAAAAAAATTAAACAATAATATGTTTTCTGCAAAACTGGTACTTGAAATTGCAAAGCATTGATTATTCCTCTAACTTACATCATTTGTAGAATCAGTATACTCAAATTGTGTGGCTTTTATATATAGATAAATAAATTGAATAACACACAATAGAGAAAAGCTGACTATATGATTCAGTATAAAATAAAAGGTTCTTTATAATAGATAACAATTAAAAGTAACTGAAAGTTAGAGCAACAACAAAATGTAACCAGCAGAATTTACTCATAAGTACTATTGGCAGAAATATTTATATTTAAAAAATATATGTATATACATAGTTCATGTTAACTAGAGAACTGTTACATATCAGAGAAGCAGAAATGGAATCCATAGATTTGATACATTCTCCTTTGAAGCTTGGTTTTCTATTTCAATGGTTAAGTGGTTTATGCTCTTATCAAACTAAATATTGATAATTTCAAGAACAATTTTTCTTTTTCTTTAGAGTTTTTTGTTTTTATTTTTGTTTGTGTTTTCTGTTTGTTTTTGTTTTGTTTTGTTTTGCTATAGGGCACATGTGCTTGCCAGAGAGAGAGAAAGAGACAGAAAGAGAGAAATCACCACCCAGGGGGATAGCTACACCATAATCTCTTCTCCATTCTCCTTTTGGGATTTTGGGCATGCACACACACATGCCCAGCATGAGTTTTAAGCTGATGGGTCTGGGACTCACACCACAGTTGACTGCTTGGGAGTCCAGATACGTAACCATTATGTC